TTTACGAAGGATATGAGAATTATACGCCGGATCGTATTAGATCATAAGAAGTACATGAATATGTTATATGGGGCGTCGGTGGCGGCAACGGTTTAGGCGTTGACACGGCGCTCATCACTGTAAGGTAAAGGTCCCGGGTTCGAATCCAGCGGCCCAACATACTTACATATGGGCTTTTTTCAAAAACACCGGCACTCTGAAGGTTTTATATGACCTCTGCTGTTGCGAACCATCGTAAAACTCAATAAAAATAAAATAAAATAAAAATAGATAATTATATATTAGTCGTTGTTTTTCTACCAACGATAAGAAGCTAAAAACGATATGGACAATTGCATTAAATGAAGTTAGATATATATAAATTCATACAATTCATATACGGTTTATGGCCCTTTAAGGGCTCAAAATTTGAATTTTTGTGGTAAACAATAAGTAGAGATTGTTTTTAGCTGGCCGGTGGTAAATTTTTTTCTCCAGTGTCCTGTTGATCCCCTCTTCTGTTTATTTATCCAAATTCAAAGTTATGACAAACGTTACAAAACAGACTGTTTCTTCTTTCCGCGGATTTCAACAAAATTTTGATGTTGGGACATTAGAATGAAATTGAAAAATAAAACTGAATAAATAAACTGCTCAAACGTTATTTTATTTTTCTGGTTCTAATTTATTTTTCGAGGCGATTTTTCAACTATTGCATTGAGTTAATGTGGTGCTATATGGTTCTAATATTTCCAGTAGAACAGTGGTCTTTCGAAATTATCATCATTATGAAATAAATAAAAAAATATGAATAAAAACAGAAGCTGTAAAGCAAAATTAGATATAAAAAATAAACATAGTTTTTTATTCTCATAAAATTTCTTATTCAGGGGTTTTCGAGGGTTAAAAAAACGAATATCATTATTATTTCTTGTTAAAAAATATTGTACCTTACCTGATAAGTCGCTTGGTCACGAATTATGTATTTCAATGTGCTACTGCTCATGCCATTGCCTAGCTGCCAAATAAAAATTTTTCGTTGTGACCTAGCGACTTGGCAAGTAAGATACAATATTTTTTAACAAGGAACAGTATTAAGATTCGTTTTTTACCCTCAAAACCCCTGAATAAGAAATTTTGTGACAATAAAAAATGTTTATTTTTTTTTAAAGAAACCAAGTTCGTTTTTTTTCACACTAGAAACCCTGAATATAAGTTTTTGTGAAAAAAATATTTTTTAAATTAAATTTTGCCTTATTGCCCTAATTACCCCAATCGAAAAATAATTTGATTACATTTTCGCTTTACTGCCTCCAATTTTCTATCGAAAATCACAAAAATGATCATGATTTTGAAACTGTTTTATGTATCCACATGAAAACGTTACAGGGTTTTAGAACTCAATAAACTACACGGAATGGGACAAATCTCGTCTCTGTAAATAAACGTGAACCGCAGAAATAAAATAAAATGTTTGAGGCGTTTTGAAAGTTAGCACTTACCTCTTCGTCCTGATAGTTCATTTCAAGGATTTCCGATGTCGCAATGTCATAACATCTCTCTACAATATTAAAAAAGTTTTGACTGAAGTGTGAGCGAGAGAAGGACCTATACGGTTTTAATGGTGTAGAAAGAAAAAAAGATATTTGAGGGTAATCGAAACGTTTTAATAGAATTATCCACATCTCTATTTTCTCGGTTGAAACTTAAAGAAACCATGTTATATTGTACAACGTTGGAAAGTGAAACATTTTTTCTACAAAATAAGACGAATTTGAAATTAGAAATAATTGCTGTTAGTACTTATTTTAAACCGGAATTTAGCTTCTTTGTTGTTTTTTTCCGATTAAAATTGTGAAAGATTTTCTGCCGGGTCAGTATCTCTTATTTTACATAGTAAATATACAGCTATTTAAGACCAATGGAATAAAAAAATCGCTAAAAAACGGATTACAATTCGCGAAATTACGGAAGATTTTCATCATAAGATCTATTCCATCTCTCTCACTCTCTCTCTCTCTCTTTCTTTCTTTGGAGAGAAAGAGAGAGAGAGAGAGAGAGAGAGAGTGAGAAAGAGAGAGAGAAAGTGAAAGTGAGTGAGTGAGAGTGAGTGAGAGAGAAAGAGAGGGTGAGAGAAAGTGAGAGTGAAAGAGAAAGAGAGAGAGAAAGTGAGAATGAAAGAGAGAGAGAGAGAGAGAAAGTGAAAGTGAGTGAGTGAGAGAGAGAGAGAGAGAGAGAGAGAGAGAGAGAGAGAGAGAGAGAGAGAGAGAAAGTGAGTGAGTGAGAGAGAGAGAGAGAGAAAGAGAGGGTGAGAGAAAGTGAGAGTGAAAGAGAAAGCGAGAGAGAAAGTGAGAGTGAAAGAGAGAGAGAGAGAAAGTGAAAGTGAGAGTGAGAGAGAAAGAGAGGGTGAGAGAAAGTGAGAGTGAAAGAGAAAGCGAGAGAGAGAGAAAGTGAGAGTGAAAGAGAGAGAGAGAGAGAAAGTGAAAGTGAGTGAGAGAGTGAGAGAGAGAGAGAGAAAGAGAGAGAGAGAGAGAGAGAGAGAGAGAGGAGAGAGAGAGAGATTGAGTGAGAGAGAGAACAGACAACATGCCCCAATCAAATTCAGTCATCTCTTTTCAGGGCTAAACTTAAGCCGTTTTAACCAGCCCTTCTCAGAGCTAATTAGGCCCGACTGAAATTGAAGTACCTGCCGATGGCAAATGTCAATTCAGGAAATCTTGAAAGAAATTGCTGTTAACGGAAGTCTACAAAGATGCGATCATAAAGTCATTTATATGCAAAATTAATGTAGATCAATCAAAAGTTTTCGATACAATTAAATTGACCTACCTGAAGAAATGAGTAGGTCTGAAAGTATGTTCTTTGTTGCCAAACCTGGAGGTAGCGATAAGACATTTTTATACGAATGCGTGATACATTTCTGCAGACATTCGGGCAAAAACGTTGCAACCATTACTTGGGCAGGACTAGCGGCAGTTCTTCTCCAATAAACGGACAAGACATAAAGAATTCTGGTAACCCCGTTACGTTACACTCCTTGACACCCGTCGGTTCAACTAGATGAATCAACTAGTCGTCTCGTCTGAAAAAGGTCTAAGGTGTCAAGGAGTGTAACGTGGCAGAATGCTTGGGAATCGCCCCAACCCTTTCGCGCGCAGTCAGCTCGTCCGCCCAGGCGGATGGCCAGCAGGCACATATGCCGCTCATGTTCTCATACCCACAGGTTGATTCAACTCAAAAGACCCTGGCTAGGCGTTCGTCCTTCACAACTGTCGCCTAGTTGAGTCAATTGAGTTCACCATGGAAAGCGTTGCAATTGCAAGTTTCAATGTGGAGCAGTTCATTGAAGATTAAAAGAGGCGAAGCTTGGAGGGCAGTCGCACAACAGTATTTGAGAGAAAGCGCCCGTTTCCCAATTTTATAACAACGGATAAATCCACACTTTTCAGTACTGGGTTTCCTTCTTTTTGCTTCGAGTTTTGCAGAAAAGCAAGCACAAGAACACTCCTGCTTACTTGGGTTCTAACATCGTAGTGTCTTCCCTTTGGACAGAGAAGTTGATTCCACAAGTTGCCTGGTGTTAAAACAGCAAAGAACGACTTCACACGACAGTAAACTAGTTGAGATTCAACCGGGCAACTTAGTTGAATCAACCAAACCGCCTCGTCTGTAAGAGCCCTTAGGCTGGGTGGTGACATTCCACAGGGTTTACCAGTGTAGAAAAAAGGAGGCATTAGAAAAATTTATGAGCATGATTGAAAAACAGTTTGTTATGGAATAGCTTTCAGCAACTGAACTGTCCAAGAATATGCGCACGGATGGAGATTCCATTGAATTCTCAGATTGGTTATTAGATATCAAAAATAATATCATAAAAAACACTTAAAATATCCCAGGAAATGTTATGAAATAATTTAATTGAAGAGTTTTATTTTCACTCCCATCGTTATCTTGAGTTGTATTTTAAAATAAAATAGCGATGAATTATTAAGAGCTACTACTAACACTACTTATTTTTTATCTCCTCAAAGTATACTTAAAAAGTTCTTAATTTCGCTTTACTCTGTTTAAAATACATTAGGCTAAGATTAAATGTTCCAATGATGAGTTACAGAGTTTTGTGGAAAAACTTCCCAGATTTTTATTTTTAATATTAACTAATTCAAAGTTGTTTCCAAAAAATGGTACTGATCACACGAAATATAAGTGATTCACATAATTTTTTGAAAGTTCCGATTCAAATGTTCTGCGTTGATGACCTGGAAGACGCGGCATATTTTACATTGTTTGAAGATTCTCATATTTTAGGCTTTGTGTCACAAATTACTTTCTACACTAAACCTTCGTCTATCTCTCCAACAAAAGGATGCGGGGTGTAACCATTTTATGGCATAAATCAGGCGGCAATGGGACAACTTCGAGCTCAAAATAAATATAATATTACTGCAATACTCTGCCCTGGCTAATATTTAATAATAAACCTAACCATTTTCTTGTCTTCTCTTGCAATTTTATTGTGCATTGAAATAGTGCATGAGAAGGTTTTATTAATTTTAATGATGGACTTACTTTGGTTTTGTGTTGGGCCCATCTGTGCTTTTAAATCCTTACATATGGGCATCATAACATAATGAAATCTTCAATTTATGTACAATGAAAAGGAGAGTCTAAATTGGATCGTTTTATTTCTTTTAACACGTATAATTTTAAAAAATATTTGAACTTTTTTTGATCGTCTTCGATCATTTTTGTCTAGATTTCTCACTGATTACGCAAAATTCTTTTTAGTGGTTCTTTATAGTTAAAACACTATCAAAACTGTGAAGCATTTTCGTGGATTGATAAACGCACCCAACATCCCACGTCGAAACGTTTCTGACAGGCAAAACCAGCGAAACTAAGAGGACCAAGATACACAGACGATCCAGCTTCATGTACATGCGTACCAAATACGGTGAGGAGGATTTCGAGCACTTTTAACTTTGCATAGTGTTTTTTAAAAATTGATCAAAACAAGTAAATTGATTATACAATGCTTCTTTTAATAACGTGCAAGTTTAATAACGTTTTGCTGCATAAACCCTAACGACAAAATCGAGGCCGTGGTTTCTTTGCGATTTGAGGTGAAGTTTGACGTAGTCGGATCCGACTCCACCGCTCTGGAGCATAGCGCAGCCACCGTTGTGGTCCGTGAACTGGTCGAGAGCTTCGACGTACGAGATGACATAATTGGGGGTCGTCGGTGGGATCTTGTAGTCGACGTCGTAGGTGACCACTCTCCACAGTTTGTAGTCAACTTTAGGGTGGTTCGTGAAAAGCAACCTGCACAAAAACTCGTATAAGTTGGGAGGCATGTCCTTCTTTCTTCCTGGTACTTACCGATCTCCGAGTTGCCTTTGCCCGAAGAAAGCGTTGTGGCTCTGGTTCTGTCCGCATGAGACTGCGGCCACAGGCTGCGGCACGAGAACGTTGACCGCGATGGCGACAAAAAGGCCGACGGCCGTGCTTGCGAATAGTCTGTACATTTTCACTCGACTAACTCCTTATCTCGACACCTGGCTTATATTACGGCCGTTATCAAGGGAAAAGTAAGAATAACCAATGAGTAGCTGTGAGATAACGGCAATCATCTCAAACATCTCGTGTATCATGTTTGCCTTAAATATTTTTTACAGGTAGAAATCAAAAAAACAAAACGCATGACTAATCAATCGTTTCTACATAATTATTTTCATTAGAAACTAATACTATCTCACATTAGAACGATTATTCAAATTCTTACAAGAAATAGGTTTACTTTTAGCTTATTGTAAATTTTCTCCTCATAAAAGTATCCTAACAATTTACATTATATTTCATTAATTATTATTGTTTCATACAGATTAACGTTATTTTTTATTTTTATTTTTAAATGACGCATGTTGCCTAATAATACATTCTTTCATTAAAACATGCTTATTCTGGGCGATGTGCAATCATTTCAAGTGCATAAAATTCAAACAAATGTGCACAGTCTTATTATTTACTATATCACATTCGATATAAATTACAAAGAAATGATTTGTGCAGCGTAACATCAACACAGTTTGGGGGGGGGATGAATTAGTGAATGAATGAAGTTAGTGGTGCAGCGATGGATTTCGATCTTTGCCTTCCCTTGTGGACGACGGCCAAGGGAAAACTTTCATTGAAGAAAATTCTCGTAAGACAGCACGAGAAATAGCGGGAAAGCTTAGTGTTGACCGCTCATCCGTTGTTCGCCATCTGAAGCAAAATGGTCAAGTAAAGCTCGACAAGTGGGTACCACACTAACAGAAGTCCAAAGAAATAGACGCTTTGAAATTTGCCCGCGTCTTCTGTTGCGCCACCAAAACGATCCATTTCTCGATCGAATCATCCCGTCCGATTAGAAATGGATTCTGTACGATCACAGGAGGCGTACAGGTTAGTGGTTGGACGAGGAAAAAGAGCTTCCCGAAACCAAATCTGAACCCATAAAAGGTTATAGTGACTATTCGGTGGTATACTATTGTGGTTGTTCATTATAGTTTCTTGAATTATGGTAAAACTATCACAGCAGAGAACTATTGCCAAGAAATTGACAAAATGAACGGGAAACTGCAACGTCTTTGTTCACCATTGGTAAACCATAAGGGGCCGATTCTTCTTCATGATAACGCCAGGCCACATTTCAAGTCAACCCTGCAGAAACTTAAGCACTTAGGATATGAAACCTTACCGCACCCTCCATATTCACCCGACCTCTCGCCTACAGACCTCCACTTTTTTAGGCATTTTGATCACTTCTCGAGGGATAAAATTATTAGAGAACGCGGTGAAGCCGAAACCGCCTTCCAAGATTTTAGTGTGAGTCGAAATAAAGATTTTTTTGGTCAGCGGAATAAAATCGCTTATCACACGTTGGCAAAGATGTACAGATTATGATGGAAAATAATTCGAATAAATATTTTTTATTTTATAAAAATTAAAAGTCGGTTTGACTGCCTTTTCAAAATCTGCATAATTTCTTATGCTTATGCAGGACTTGGTTGAGATGAAAAAGTTAGTGTCAGGAGAGGGATTTGAACCTTCTCGTTCGGCTCAATACGCCGCTGCTCTAACAACTTGAGCTATAGTCACGACCGCTGTTTTCTACCAACAGGACTTTTTCATGTCAAGTAATTAATCCTTCTTCTGTATTATGTTGAGTTTTTAAATATGAAAAATAAGCGCAACCATTTTGAATGCGTTGTAATTCGAAGGAGCGAAAGTATGTTTGTTCACGAAAAGCAGCAAACTACAATATCGGCATAGTACATGCTTCAGTAATTTTTCCCCTTATATCGAACATTAGTTTTTAATTTTCACGGAAATTCTTCCTAGAATAAACATTAGCAATAAAGAAAGTTTCTTAATCACGTTGGATAAAAGTAAAAAGCTAATAAACCTGCATTGAATGAACATAATACATGGACAATTTTTTTTGGCGAGGGTATTTCAACTATGAGGTTGCAGCTGTTGAACCCCCTAGGTGCAGCTGTTTTTGAAAAAAAAATTTCAAGTGTGTCCAGCGGCCCTGTATTCGAACCTCAGACCTTTACAGTACAGTGATGAGCGCCATGGCAACGTCTAAACCGTTGCGGCCCCCGATGCCGAACAGACTTTTAGTTAAAATATATTTACTCCAGTCCTAATAATTTTCAATAATACTCGTTACTTTCAATTAATTGATTATTATGTAAAGTATTGGTTGAAATGAAAAAGTTAGTGCCACGAGCGGGATTCGAACCCACGACTTTCTGCTCAATACGCTGGTGCTTGAGTGCTACCACTTGAACTATCATGACTTCGATCCACTCGGATACCAACTTCCCATTTCAACCTCACCTCTCGAATTTTCCCTCCTTTTTGCCATTTTTCGTTTCAACCAATACCTTACATAAAGATTAATTAATTGAAAGAAGTTATTTGGTCAATCCTACCATGTAATATAATGGAATTAATACACGTTATATTTCTCAAAGATCGACAATGTTTAGTATATAGGCTTACATTTGAACTTATATTAATCATTAATACGAAGTGGCTAATTGAAAAGCAATTCTTCATTATTTTACTCGCTTGGTTTCTAAATAACAACTTGTAAGTCCTAATGGAAAATGGCCATTTATCTAGAGATTTATTGAAAATTGTTTTGAAAGGATTATTCGACTAATACGTTTTTTAAATATTACCATTTACGCTCCCATAATGAAAAACATGCATTTGCATTTAGCGCCCCTCTTTGTTGTAAATCCTTATATTTTGGTCTAATTTGTTGCCCCAATCGCACTAGAATCTCCGCTAATCCTACCTCGTTTGGAAATATTTATACAAAGAGGCGTGAGGGAAAGCTCATGTAGGCTCCTGAAACAATCAAACTGGACGGGAGTTTAAAACATCGGACACATAAAATCAGACACCCACTCTTAGAAATCGAAACTGACTACATGATCGCGGAAACATTATTTACTCTCATCTTTTAAATTCTATCTCAGAAACTACCTTCTATGCTAAACCTACTTCTATCAAATCCCTCCAGAAAGAAGGATCGGGGTGTAACCTGAACGTTTTTATGGCGTAAATCAAGCAGCGATAGGACAATGTCGAGCTCTATATAAATATAATATTATTACAACACTCTGCCCTTTCTAATATGTAATAATAAACCTATCCACTTTCTTGTCTTCTTTGGCAATTGAATTCTGCATTGAAATTAAAGTTTTATTAATTTTGTTGGTGAATTTTGGCATTTGCGTTGGGACCATCTGTACTTTAAAATCGTTACATACCGAGTTTTTATAGAAAAGGTGATCGAGATGAGCCTTACATTCTTTGTCGAGCTTTCGAGGAATATATCCTCTTCATCAGAATTATATATTTAAACCGTTACAATTAATAAGTTAAAAACAGTCTACTACAGGTTATCATAGGTGTACATTAAACTATTCATTAATATTTTGTTTAAAAAATTATAAAACTGTGTTCCATTTACACAACTAGTGTGTGTGTTATGTTTAGTGACCGTTAGCCAATGATTATTTGGTGATCGTGAGGTGCGGTCTGGTGTGACGTAGGTTTTAGAAAAACATTTTCTTTATCGTGCCAACGTTTCGATCTTTATTGAGATCATCTTCAGGGCCTGGGATTTATAAACATTGTTTACATTTAA